GAAGTGGTCCAGTTTCTTTCTTTTTTTTTTTTTTTGCATATAGCTATCCAGTTTTCCCAACACCATTTATTGAAGAGACTGTCTCTTCTCCATTGTATATTCTTTTTTTTCTTTTTTCTTTTATTTATTTATTTGACAGAGAGAGACACAGCAAGAAAGGGAACACAAGCAGGGGGAGTGGGAGAGGGAGAAGCAGGCTTCCCGCGGAGCAGGGAGCCCGATGCAGGGCTCGATCCCAGGACCCTGGGATCATGACCTGAGCCGAAGGCAGTTGCTTAACAACTGAGCCACCCAGGCGCCCCTCCATTGTATATTCTTTTTTTTTTTTTTTTTTTTTTTTTAGACTTTATTTATTTGAGACAGAGAGAATGAGAGACAGAGAGCATGAGAGGGAGGAGGGTCAGAGGGAGAAGCAGACTCCCTGCTGAGCAGGGAGCCCGATGCGGGACTCGATCCCGGACTCCAGGATCATGACCTGAGCTGAAGGCAGTCGCTTAACCAACTGAGCCACCCAGGCGCCCCTCCATTGTATATTCTTGACTCCTTTGTCATAGATTAATATATGTGAGTTTATTTCTGGATTCTGTACTCTGTTTCATTGATCTATGTGTCTGTTTTTGTGCTAGTAACATGCTGTTTTGATTACTGTAGCTTTGTAGTATAGTTTGAAATCTGGAGGCATGATACCTCCAGGTTTGTTCTTCTTTCTCAAGATTGGTTTGGGTATTCAGAGTCTTTGGTTCCATACAAATTTTATGATTATTTGCTTTATTTCTGTGAAAAATGCTATTGGTATTTGGATAGGGATTGAACTGAATCTGTAGATTGCTTTGGGTAGTATGGACATTTTAACAATATTAATTCTTTCAATCCATGAGCATGGTATATCTTTCTATTTATTTATGTCATCTTCAATTTCTTTCACCAGTGTCTTATAGTTCTCAGAGTACAGGTCTTTCGCCTCTTAAGTTTTTTCCTAGGTATTTTATTCTTTTTGATGCAATTGTAAATGGGATTGTTTTCTTAATTTCTCTTTCTGATCATTGGGTACTAGTGAATGGAAACACAGATTTCTGTATATTAATTTTGTATCTTGCTGCTTTACTGAATTCATTTATCAGTTCTAATAGTTTTTTTGGTGGAGTCTTTAGTGTTTCTATAAATAGTATCATGTCATATGCAAATAGTGACAGCTTACTTCTTCCTCCCGATTTGGATGCCTCTTCTGTATTTTTAAATATGCTGTTAATCTCATTAATCTTAGTTCATTTTATCCAGTGTAGTGTGCATTTCAGAAGGTTTTTTCTTCCCTAGAAGTTCTGTTTGGACTTCTTTTTAATATGTCCATTTCTTTCCTCATTGTATTTGTATTTTCCTCAGTCTTCCTGAGAATATGGAGCATATTTACAGTAGTTGTTTTAATGTCCTTTTCTGCTAATTCTGCTAATTTTCCTCATGTTTGGATCTGTTTCTGTTGACTGGTTTTTCTCTTGCTTATTTGGTCATATTTTCCTGCTTTGAATGCCTGGTAAATTTTAAATTAGATTTTGGACATTGTGATTTTAATGTTGTGAGTGCTAGATTTTGTTATATTATTTTATATAGTTAAACTTTGTTCTAGAATGTGGTTACATTATTTGGAAATCAGTTTTATCCTTTCAGGTTTGTATTTAAGGGTTGTCAGGGGAGGTTGAGAGCCATCTTTAATGCTAATTTGGCCCCATTGCTAATGCATTATCCATCTGCAGACTCTGTCTGACAACCAGTGTATGAGTAGGTCTTTCTACTCTTGCTGGTGGAAAGACAAATTATTTTACTTGTGGAGCCCTCTGTGAGCTTAACAATTTCTTTTCCTTTCCAGTGGTTCTCTGTGCCCAGCCTTGAGTATTTTCCTCTTCTATATATGCACATCAGTATTCAGCAAAAGATGTAAGAGGACCCTTCTACAGACCTCCAGAGTTCCTTGTCAAACTCCCTCTTCTACAGTACTCTGTCTCACAAATTCTAGGTGCCTTGGCCTCTCCAAGTGTTGGTCTCTATGTCTTTGGCTTGGCAAGACTTCTGGGTTCTGTATAGTTTCCTCCTCCCTGTCCCACAGGCTAGAAACTTCTCCATGCAGTAAGCTGGGGTAATCGTAGGGCTCACCTTGTTTTTTTTCTTCAGGGATCACAGTTCTGTATGCCTGTTGTCCAACGTCTGGTAGTTGTTGTTTCATCTGTTTTGTCCAGGGTTCTGTCATTTAAGGTAGGAGGGTGAATTATGTTTTGTTCTTCTGTCATGGCTAGAAGAGGAAGGCTCACTGAAACATTTTTGATGAAGGCACACATTTAATATTCCTATGACATTAATTTATTGCAGTGAAGTCCACTGAATAGGAAGGCCCTCCAAAGGAAGGAACTGCCCTGAACCATAAATGATACCATATTTTGAACTGGGTTTTTTTTTTTTTTCATTAAAAAAGATAATCATAAATACTAAATAAAAAGAAAAATCAAGATGGAAAAAATAAATTTTACAGTTTCTCCTTTCTAGTGCTATGATTGTTTTCATAGTTGTGTATTAGCCTACACGTATGCATAGTTTTACATAGTTGTAATCATGTTATTCTTCTATTTTGTGGTTTTTTAAAACATATGTCATAAAATATTCTTTTTTTGTACTTTTCTTAAATCTTTTTTTTTTTTTTCAGTGTGGGCTTAGTTTATTTAACCATTCTTTTCATGGAAATTATGGTTGTTTCCAGTTTTTACTATTACTTATGTCTCTATTTAAAATGGGTGTGTAATATGTTACTTTTGTGAACTATAATTTACTACATAAATGATTACCTTAGCTTGAAGCTTTTAGGGCATTTTGAAATAATTTTGTGTTTAAATTTGGTAACAGAAAAGAATGTAAAAGCCTATGGCATTTTTAAAGGAAATGCAGTGATGAGGTCATCTGGTGCCTGTTCACTAAGGAACAGAGCTGACAGAATATTACAGAGAAATAATCATGGACAGAGTTAAATACCTCTCTGAGTTAAGGAGAGGAAAATTCAGCTCAATTCCATAAATGTTTTGGTCCCCACCCTCAGAGAATTTATGATCTAGTGGAGGATCTAGTGAAACACATTTAAGGAGTTTCACAGTTGAGTTGGAAAAGATATGTCTGACCTGCTTAAACAATTGTGTTCATCACATGATTAAATTTGTACATACACTTTAACTAAAGGACCTTTACTTGGAACTATACCAACTTCCCCAGCACTAAATCTTGTAAATTAGAAAAGCAGTGTTCTGATAATATGTTTTATTAAGGCTTCCATACTCTCTTTCATAAAATTGCATGAATTTATAAAAATGTGGTATTGCTAGAATGAGTTTTCTTTCCTGGTTACAGCCAGAGGCCTTCCCTCAGATTTAGCTGCTGCTGTTACTCTCCTTGCTAGAATAATGGGCTGGAGTAGCTAGTGATGGTACTCAGGTATAAAGTTCCTGGGCAAATTGGTTACACATTTCTTTTTTTTTTTTAAATAATAGTTTATTTTATTTTATTTTATTTTTATTTTTATTTTTTTAACATTTTATTTATTTATTTGACAGAGAGTGAGTTAGTGAGAGAGGGAACACAAGCAGGGGGAATGGGAGAGGGAGAAGCAGGCTTCCCGCTGAGCAGGGAGCCCGTTGGGGGGCTCGATCCCAGGACCCTGGGATCATGACCTGAGCCAAAGGCAGACGCTTAACCAACTGAGCCACCCAGGCGCCCCTGGTTACACATTTCTTAATGTTTGTTGGGCTCCACTTTCCTTCCTTTGGGAAAGTCTCAGATATATTCATTCATTTGTTTGGGAGACCATTTATTTAAATAATAATAGCTAATATATAACATTTACTACGTGCCAGACACTGATCTAAGGCTTTATATATATTAACTTATTTAATTTTCATAATAATCTTTTCATGTAAGTATTGCTATTATTGTCTTAGTAAATGGCAGGGGCAGGAACTGGACTCTGACGTTTGGCTTCAGGGTTCATACTCATAACCATTTACTGTAAGTACATGCTCTCGAGTCACATTCTCCAGGTTCAAAGTCTAGCTCAGTTACATACAACTGTTTGAATGACTTAGATCAATTACTTGTCTCCTCTGAGTCTGTTTCTTCATCTCTATGCTATCTTTCATATAACCTAACTTTGTTCGCTTCTTGGCACATAGTAAACTTGGCTCTTATTAACTATTCCTTCATTAAAAACATAAACTTGGGGTGCCCACCATGTGCTTGCTCTTCCAAGGAGCAGTTGTGCTGGTTTGTCTCTTTTTTGTAAAGTCGTATCAGTACTGTTTGTATGGTCCTGAAGCTCTTAGCTGATTGAGGATATTCTGTATTTCGATCATCTTTCCTCCTATTGGTAAGTGTGGAAAAGAGATAGAATGTGGTCAGAAAATGGAAGGCTTTTCCTGTTGATTCATGTTGCAGGTCACACAGTTAAGTCATAGGAGCTAAAACAGGTTACTCCTTGGTTGAAACATGACCATCCTCTATCTAGCAAGATTATTTGCCCTGTTTGACCCAGCTTAAATCTTTAGGAGAAAGGTAAGTATGGAGCAGGAGGGGATACTTATTCAGCCAGCCATTTCCACTAAATCAACCCTAGCCATTAGGGAAATGATAAATGTGGCAGCCAGATTAATCTTACCTTACCACTTCAGTGTAGATTTTAAATGAATGTAAAAACTAAGTATGGAAACCAGTTAGTAGGGAGTAGATGGAGGGGAACCCAAGGTAGAGGAGTATTTTGATAGAAAGGAAAAAAAGCTAGAGAAAAAAAATCCTGGTGAAGATAGTTGAGAATAAGCCCTTAATATTTTTCTCTGAGATGAGGAAGTTTTAAATGGAATGTTGGTATAGGCTCTGTTTGGTTATTCTAATAAAGCTATTCCAAGATGTATCTTTATTCCTCATATTTGTGTTTTATACGGGGGTCTAACAGATCTTTTTTCTTTTCTTCCTTACAGTCCTGAGGCTTTCTACCAATGCAGGCCAGTGGAAAGAAGCAGCTAGCAAGGTGACCCATGCATTAGTTAATATCAGGTAAGGAATGAGAGCTTACCTCTTTCAGCATTCCTTGGCTCATCCTGAGGTTTATTGTACCTTTCTGAGTGGAGTGTGTTGAACACTGCTATTTTAAGCCCTGATATCTGTAGGAGTGGAAGAAATGTCGTACTTGATCAAGAAAAGCAGGAGTGCATGAGACTTTCATATTGTCATATTGAAATAGCTCACAGTGCTGTTCTATGAATTTTCTTACCAAGAGATGGTTGCAAGCCCTTTGTTGCCAAAGTGTTTTTCTGTGTATAGGCCATCTGAAAACTTTTCTCTGAAAAATTTTTTTCTGCCATTCTCTGTGAGTTCAGGGAATGACTCATGGGGATCTGGAACTTTGACGTTTTGCTTTACATGGCTCTTTCTATTTGTGGTAAACAGAGGCAAATGGAGCTCATGGGGCTAAGTTATTTTAGGTTCCTTATGAAACAGCAAAGCAATTACAGAGTGTTATATGTATTGGATAAAATTGAGTCAGACATGGAGTTTGGCTTAGGGTCTTGAGGAAATACCACACACTCACAGGAGTGAGCTGTTTGTAAATGGAGAGAATGTGCTTTCAGTATCATGAAATCTCAAGCTGACTTTCCTTACATTCCTTGTTCCCTTTGTGCCTATCATTTCCCATTTTCTCAACAATTATTAAATTGTTCTTGCAAACAATTGAAAAATTAACACTTGAGTAGAAGAGGCAAACCCAACAGATGGGGAAACTTGATTTAGCTCCAGATGTAAGCCTTGCCAGACATTCCCAGTGATGGTAATGCACATCTACAAGTTGGTATAGATTCTAATGTGTGACAGCGCTGGGATTTAGTGTTTATTTCTGTATCTTTCTTTTCTTTTCCTTTCTTTTTAATATTTTTCTCTCCCTCTCCTTTTTTTAAAAAAAGTATAATGTCCTGTGGTGATTTACAGCGGTATTTGGCACATCTGGGAACAAAAGGAGAAGTGTGAAATGTGTGTGTTGGGAGAGCTGGAGTGAGGGGGCAAGGGGGTGAGATGTGCTAACAAGATTGCACTGAAGGTTGATCTGCCTTACCTGACCCCAGAGACATTTTGCTGCAAACACAGTTTTATAAATCTCACAAATGCTTATCTGTACCTAGCAAATAAACCAGATACTGTAGTGAGGCCTTATGATAAATAAAAAGAATCAGGAATTACAAACTGCCTTCTCCCAAATATCCCTTTGTGACCCAAGGGCAGTATGACAAATGTGGGTGGTTGAAAGAAGCTCCAGATTCTGGGCTAGAGTATGAAGTTCATATGGGTATAATTTATGTTGTGTTTATTTATTCATGTATTTACTTAGGCTTTCCAGGCAGCTCCTTTTCATCTGGGGCCTGTTTCCTTGATCACATTCCTTTATGCTTGCTTTATCTCCTACTTTGTTGCTTTCCCTTTCAGTGGCTTCTGGCTTGGCTGCTGTCCTTATTCTTCCCAAGGGTCGTCAAACAGCTGATTTAAGCGTTTGGCCTATGCTTTTTGTGAATAGCCCAGAAAGGACTGGGCTGAACTTTGAGCGGATGCCTATAACCATGACCTCTTTCTTCTCTTTGCAAGTCTCCATCAGGTCTCTACCTTCATTTCATTCCTCACATTTCTTTGATGAACCTGCTGCAGGGAATAATTAGATTATCTTCACTGTCACTAATGAATTAGACTTGGCGTTTATGTCAAAAGTATCAAAGATACAGTCAATTTTCTCAAGAGATTACAGGAAAAATGTGTTTGAATGTTGCTTACCACACTAAGGCCAGATCAGGGCAAAATAGTTGTGATGCCAAGCCAGCTAAAGTTTACTTTTTTTTCCTTTCTGACACTTATTTTCACTTAATAAGTGCTAAGCTTTGTGCTCTTTTATATACTGTCTTCTTCAGTATTCAAACTCTATAGAGTATATCACAAGCTTTTAAAAATACACTTTTTACCAGTGAGGAAACTGAGTCTTAAAGATATTGTGAATTGCAGAAAGTCCCACCGTTGTTGTTTGGCAAAGCTGAGAATCATTGGTCCTTTAACTCCCAAGTCCAGGGCTCAGGGCTCTTTCTTCTAAAGATTTTTTTATTTTTAAGTAATCTCTACTCTCAAGTTGGGGCTCAAATTCAGAACCCTAAGATCAAGAGCCACATGCTCCACCGACTGATCCAGCCAAGCACCCTGACTGAGCCAGCCCAGCACCCCAGGGCTGCTTCTTCTGTACCATAATGGCTCCCATAGAGTTGCATCAAAGGCTGCCATGGAGGTAAACAGAAAACTCAGCATGATGTGTTGAAAGGAACATGGAAATTTTAGTTAGAGAAGCTGGATTTAAAATTTTTGTCTCTACCACTTAATGTGTGACCTTGAGCAAGTTATTTAGCTCCTCTGGACCTCTTTCCACTGTTTATAAAATGAAGATCACGATGATATCAACTCTTTCACGGGGAAATAGTTGTGAGAACTATATAATGTATGTGAAAGCACTTAGTCAACTATAAAATATTGGCCTGAAGCATAATGTATTTAAGATTCATCTCTGTTGTAGTATGTCACAATTTCCTTCCTTTTTAAGGCCGATTAATATTCCGTTGTATGTATATGCCATGTTTTGTTATTCCATTCATCCATTGATGAAATCCCAAGTGGGTTGCTTCCACCCTTTGGTCGTTGTGTTTTGGTTATTTGTATATGGGTGTACAAATATCTGTCCAGTTCCTGCTTTCACTTCTCTTGGGCCTAAACCTAGAAGTGGAATTGGTGGATCATATGATAATTCTGTTTAATTTTTTTAGTAAATGCCATACTGCTTTTAGGATTAGCATTTTGAGCCTTCCTTAGAATGTTTCTTAAGTATGTCTTCATATATCCCTTCTATAAAACTTAAGATGTTATCCCTAACCTTGAAAGATGTTTTGCTTTTTTTGTAGGTAGATTTTGATGCTTTGAATGAGGATGGTGCAGGGAGTTTCTTTTCTCAGAGTTAGTATTCTCTTGGCTGAGGGTGAAAAAGTGGTATGCCTGTCTGCATTCCACTCCAGTGGTAATGAGTGCTGCCTTATGCTCCCTTGGTTTTTTTCTAAGAGCTTGTGTTGTACATCCATGACACTATTAACTTTGGGTGGTTTAGAAAACAAGAGACTGTGTCAGAAAATTGGACCCATGGGTCTCCCAGGGATACTATGGGATGTTTAACTATTGGCCACCAAGTTTATTAATAAGGATAGAGTATATAGAGGCTTAGAAGTAAAACTCTGAGGGCGCCTGGGTGGCTCAGTCGTTAAGCATCTGCCTTCAGCTTGGGTCATGGTCCCGGGGTCCTGGGATCGAGCCCCGCATCGGGCTCCCTGCTCAGCGGGAAGCCTGCTTCTCCCTCTCCCACTCCCCCTGCTTGTGTTCCCTCTCTCTCTATGTCTCTGTCTCTGTCAAATAAATAAGTAAAAATCTTAAAAAAAAACAAAGTAAATCTGTGATAGCATGCAACATTTACTTTTGTTGTTATAAAGATTATTTGTGCTAATCCCACAGCTGGAAAAGATTTCTAAGGCAGAGTGAACGAACTCTTAGCCACCTCTCCTGTAGTATGTTCTTTGATAACCATGGAAAAGGTTTGGGTTGCATATGAAATTTTCAGACATCTAACTAACAGCTGAGAGGGCCTCAAGGTGGTTTGGTAGTTGATGACAGCTACAAGTTATGTTTTTGGGATCTTCTGGAATGCAATACATCTAATGGCAACCCTAACATAGTATCTTACAGCCCGTGAAAGGCAGAAAGGCTGCAGACTTTAATGTTTTTTGGAGTTCAGATTGTGACAGTGAAAATTAAAAGTGCTTCCACATGCTTGGAGGCCTAAATTTGCTCAAGTGTCAGTCTGTTTGCTTTTCACTTGTCTTTCGTGGCTTAGTCATGCCAGCTCTTTAATTGTCAGAGTTATTTGTGTTTAAACAATTTGTCTCTCTCTTCCTGTTTGATCCTTCAGAGAGATTCTTAAAATGCAGCTGCTTAGAAACTGCTGTTTTTTAAATTGAAGTATAGTTGACATACAATGTTCTATCAATTTCAGGTGTACAGCATAGCGACTCAACAATTCTATTCATTGTGCAGTGCTCACCATGATGAGTGTAGTTACCATCTGTCACCATACATAGTTATTACAATATTATTGATTATATTCCCTGTGCTCTACTTTTCATCTTATTTTGTAACTGGACATTTGTACCTCTTAATCTGCTTCACCTATAACATCCATCCCTTTGCCCCCACCTGTCTGGTAACTACTGGTTTGTTCTCTGTATTTATTTTATTTTATTTTATTTTATTTTATTTTATTTTATTTTATTTTATTTTATTTTATTTTATTTTATTTTATCTTTGAAGATTTTATTTATTTATTTGACAGAGAGAGATAGCAAGAGCAGGAACATAAGCAGGGGGAGTGGGAGAGGGAGAAGCAGGCTTCCGGCTAAGCAGGGAGCCTGATGTGGGACTTGATCCCAGGACCTGACCATGACCTGAGCCGAAGGCAGACGCTCAACTGAGCCACCCAGGCACCCCTGTTATCTATATTTATGAGTTTGTTTTTGTTTGTTTGCTTGTTTGTTTTGGTTTTTAGATTTCATATGTAGGTGAAATCATATGGTATTCGTCTTTTTCTGTCTGACTTATTTCACTTAGCATATTACCCTCTAGGTTCATCTATGTTGTTGTGAATGGCAAGATCTCATTCCTTTTTATGGCTGAGTAATATTATATTCCATTGTGTGTGAATGTATATGTATATATACCACAAATTTATCCATTTATCTCTTGATGGACACTTGGGTTGCCTCTATATCTTGGCCAATGTAAATAATACTGCAGTAAATATTGGGGTGTGTATATCTTTTCAAATTAGAGTTTTTGAGAAACTATTCTTTTTTTAAGTAGCCGTCATGCCCAATGTGGGGCTTGAATTCATGACCCTGAGATTGAGAGTCACATGCTCTACTGACTGAGCTAGCCAGGTGCCCCGAAACTGCTGTTTTTATTGGAATACCTGATGTCATTAATGTACAGGGCCCTATATTTGTTCCTTCCCATAGGCGGGTTGTTCCTTTGTTTTGCCACAAGAAAAATAAAATATTACTGCTCTACCTTTAAAATTCTACTTTGTATAATTGTTAATTTAGCTGCCTTCACAGATCAGCTGGTCCACAAAGGAAAAATACTCTGAGGGGCCAAATGCAGGACTGGAAGGAAAGCATTTGGGAAGTTTTGCTTGGAGACTTATATGCTAAATATTTCCTGCCACCACTTAGCAGGTTACCCTAGTGAGGTCCTATACTTTAGGAAGATGTCTGCTATTAACCTAATTAGTCAAAAGAGAAAAAGAAAAATGTTAGACTAAAATCTGACCTTCATCTAACCAAACAACTTTCAAGGTAAGTAATTTGAAGCCCTTAATGAATCTGTTCAAGTTAACATCTTAATGCTTTTCACTTAATTAGCATTTTATTAGCACCAAGTTCACAATCCTATTCTCTGGTTGCTCACAGAAATAGTGGCTGAATCATTGCAAATAGGTTTTTTCCTGATCTGTAATTTTCTTAAGGTGGATAAAGTTTTAACTCTGTGATTAATATATTAAATTTTTCCTATATTAGGAATGCATTAAGCTAAAGTTTAGTTTTTCTTTGGCAATGACTTTTTATCCATTAGGCCCTCCAGGGCTGACAAGAATGACTTTTTAGATATTGCTGTGATTAGTGACAAGCTTGGGATTTGGAATGAGAATAAATGTCTTAATTGTTCACCTTGTGAGTTTGCCTCTTGTCCCTCTCTTTACTCCATGATCTTTTTGTTTCAGTGCTGAAGTAGTCCTTCCCCTACTTCCTGCTTGTGTGCTTATGTAGCTGTTTTCCTTCATCCTAAAAAATATCCCCTCAAAAAAAAAAAAAAAAAAAAAAAGAGGGGGAGGAGGAGGAGGAAAGCTTTAAATGTACACTCTGCTGGGGAGGCTGGGGAACAAGAATAGCTCTCAGCAGCCTCTAGATAGGGGGGTTCATTGGGCATAGCACCCTTTGGAGCAGGCTGCATATAGAATTCTGAATGTCATGGAGAAAAAGCCCACAGGCGGTAATCAGGGAGAGCACATTACTGTTGATGGCCAGAATTAGGGTTGGAAAGGGAATGTAAGGTCTCAGCTAGGCAGAGTCCCTCCAAATCCCCTTGCCCATGAACCTGTTTGGGCTACAGAATTTGCCTCTTAATCACAGTTCTTTAATCAGAATGGATATTGATGATGAGCTGAGAGGAGGAACAGTTTGACACCAGGCACTTCAGCTGAAGGATGCAATGTAGTCTAATGAAAAGTAAATATGGATCAAAGCAATCAAATGACAGGAGCAGAGGCATTGGGCTGTTGACTCTTGAATAGCAAGAAGTACATGAAAATAAGCTTCTAGACCAGTTGTCTGCTCAAAAGTGGCAGACAGGCAGGCTCAGATTATCCCCTGGGTTAGAATTTATCAGTAATGACCTTTCTTCTGGTAAACAGACCCTGCTGATCTCCCATTACAGAGAATGAAAAGCATTATGCAGATTAAAACAAAGCACCAAAATGAGGCTGCTATAATATTTCCCCAGTGACTGATAGCATTACATATTATTCTAATAATTGCTGTTCTCTAATCTCTTGAGACTACAGCTAGGAAAAAAAAACCAAACACTGAATCCCATGTGGTTAATCATCTGTTTTGCCCTAACTTGGTTTATGCTGCAAAGTGAGGTTTTGCATTAGGTCATAGCTGGGTTTGGTGAACTGCAGTACAGTAAAGAAGTCTTGGTTGAAGAAATTCAGGTATTTGTAATGGAATATTAAGATTTTTAGTTGGGGCTACTGTGATTTTAGGTGAGTATGACTTTAGTATATAAAAGCCCTCCTTCCCTCAATCTGAAATTCCCTTGGGGTCTTTTTCCGCTTTACTTTTTAAATTTTTTAAATTTATCATCATCATTTTTGTTTTTATTTTTTATTTTTTGTTGAACTCTTTTTTTTTTCATTTTTATTATTTTTAAAGATTTATTTATTGGAGAAAGAGAGCCCAAGAGAGTGTGGGAGTGGGAGGGGCAGGAGAGGGAGAGAGAATCTTGAGCAGATTCCCTGCTGAGCACGGAGCCCAACACAGGGCCTGATCTCACGACCCTGGTGCCCCTCACTTAGCCTTTTTTAAAGAAAATTGCAAGAAAATATGCATAACATAAAATTTACTATTTTAACCATTTTTAAGTCTACAGTTCTGTGGCATTAAGTACATCCACATTGTTGTGCAGCCATCACCGTGAGCCATCTTTTTCATATTCTTCAACTGAAATGAAACCGTAACTCCTCATTCCCTCCTCCTAGCCCCTGGCAATCGCCATTCCACTTTGTGTTTGTGAGTTTGACTACTCTAGGAACATATTTATAAGAGCAATTAAACAATATTTGTTGTTTTGTGCCTGGCTTATTTTACTTAGCATAATATCCTCAAGGTTCTTTCCATGTTGTATCATGTATCATAATTTCCTCCATTTTTTTTTTAAGTGATCTCTATACCCAGCATGGGGCTTGAACTCACAACCCCAAGATCAAGAGTCCCATGCTCCACTGACTGGGCCAGCTAGGTGCCCCCCCCCCCCCAACTTTTTAAAAGACTGAATAATACTCCATTGTATGTATACCACATTTTATTTATCCATTTATCCATTGATGGACCCTTGCATTGCTTCCACTTTTTAGCTATTGTGAATAATGCTTCTATGAACATGGGTGTACAAATCTTTGAGAACCTGCTTTTTCTTCCTTTGGGGATATACCCACAAGTGGAATTGCTGAATCATATGGTCATTTTATTTTTAATTTTTGGGGGGAATTACCATACCCTTTTCCATAACAGCTGCACCATTTTGTATTCCTACCAATGTTGTGCAAGGGTTCCAGTTTCTCCATACCCTGGATGACACTCGTTATTTTCTATTTTTTTTTATAATAGTTGTCCTGATGAGTATGAAATGCTATTGAATTGCAGTTTTGACTTGCATTTCCCTAATGACTAGTGGTATTAGTTATCTTTTTCATGTGCTTATTGGCTATTTGTCTATCTTCTTTGGAGCAATGTCTATTCCTGTCCTTTGCCAATTTTTAAATTGGGTTGTTTGGCTGTTTTGTTGTTGAATTTTAAGAATTCTTTATATATTCTGGATTCCAGCCTCTTATGAAATACATGGTTTGCAGATATTTTTTTCTGTGGATTGCCTTTTCATTCTGTTGATTGTGTCCTTTGATGCATAAAAGTTTTTAATTTTGGTGAAGTCCAGCTTATCTGTTTTTTTCTTTTGTTGACCATGCTTTTGGTGTCATATCCAAGCAATCATTGTCAATTCAAGTCCTGCAGCTTTCTCATGTTTCCTTCTAAGAAAAGGAATGTAAGAAAGCTCTTACATTTAGGTCTTTGATACATTTTAAGGGAAGTTTTATATATGGTGTAAGGTAAGGGTCCAACTTCATTTTTTTGCACGTGGCAATCCCCAGCACCCACTTTGCTTTTTTGAGATAACCACAGTTCTGATTTGTTAACTGAAATCAGGCTGAATTAACTGATGAGTGTAGAATTTGAGACTCCACATTTTTTCTGTATGTCCCTGTTCTGTTTGTTTTTTAGCTTTGTTCATTGCTCTGCTTGTTTAAGAGATGGCATAACATAGTGGTTAAGAGCAGGGACTCTATAGAGTTTGGTTCTCTGAGTTTGAGTCTAAGCTCTACCACTTACTTTGGACACGTTTTTTAACCACTCTTTGCTTCGAGTTTCCTCATGGAACCTGGGTCATTGCTGAGATGATTAAATGACAATATATGTAAAGGACTTGGAATAGTACCGGGCACACAGTCAGTCAGTACCTAGTACAGTCAGTTCTATGTAAATGTTCATTATTATCTTTTTTTTTTTTAAGATTTTATTTATTTATTTGAAAGCGAGAGAGATAGCGAGAGAGGGAACACAAGCAGGGGGAGTGGGAGAGGGAGAAGCAGGCTTTCCGCTGAGCAGGGAGCCCGATGTGGGGCTCAATCCCAGGACCCTGGGATCATTACCTGAGCCGAAGGCAGACGCTTAACGACTGAGCCACCCAGGTGCCCCTATTATCATCTTTTTTAAACAATTGTTCTTCCTATGCAAGTCTGGAGGTCTTACAGCCTTGGTTCTGATGATCTGCATGGGACTTCATTCTAGAAAGCAACTCCCTTCCATATCCAACTTTATTCAGTTCCCTTGGCTCTACTTATGTGGACCTAGAAGGGATCAGAAATACAGAATGATACTATTTGCAACCTGACATCAGGGGCAACACTGGAACTTAGGCTGTCAGCCTGCATCTTGGCATTATTGTTGGGAAAATAGTTCAGATGGGAAGAATTTATGTTTTCCATCGCTTCCAGCCCTTTGAGATGTTTGACCGTGAAACTTTGGCTTTATTATTTTATTACTCTGCCTTCTTGCCATTATTTTGGTAAAGGAGAATGTGCCCAAAAGGAATATGCATATAACTGAAAAGATACTAATCAGTGTTTTTTTGTTTTAAGATTTTATTTATTTATTTGAGAGAGAGAGAGTGCATGAGATGGGGGAGGGTCACAGGGCAGGCTCCCCACTGAGGCGGAGCCGGACATGGGGCTCAATCCCGGGACTCCCGGAATCATGACCTGAGCCGAAGGCAGACGCCCATCCGATTGAGCCACCCAGGTGCCCCACTAATCAATGTGTTTTTATCTCTGATTGGAGGGATTATAGGTGGTATTAATTTTTTTCTTACATTTTAAATTTATAAAACATTTGGCTGTGGATTTTTTTTTTAGATGCCCTTTATTTGGCTGAAAAAGGTCCCTTCTATTCCTAGTTTTTTAGTGTTTTTTTTTATCATGAAAAGGTGTTGGATTTTGTCAGTGTTTTTTCTGTGTCTATTGGGATGATCATGTGGTTTTTGTTTCTTATTCTATTGATACGGTTATATTACATTAATTGATTTTGAGATGTTAAACCAGCCCCACTTGGTTATGATGTATAATTCTTTTTATATGTTGCAGGTTTCAGATTGGTAGTATTTTGCTGAAGATTTTTGTGTCCTTATTCATCAGTGATATTGCTCTGTAGTTCTCTTTTCTTGTGGTCTTTGTCTGGTTTTGATATCAGGGTATTGGTAGCCTTATAGAATGAGTTGGGGAAGTGGTCCCCTCTCTTCAGTTTTTTTGAAAGACTATTTAGAGGATTGGTATTAATTCTTTAAATCTTTGTATAGTTCATCAGTGAAGCCATCAGAGGCTGGGCTTGTTTTCACAGGTAGTTTTTTAAAATAGTAATTGAAGAGGCGCCTGCTTGGGTGGCTTAGTCGGTTCAGCATCCAGCGCTTGATTTTGGCTCAGGTCGTGATCTCAGGCCTGCATCAGGCTCTATGCTGGGTGTAGAGCCTGCTTAAGATTCTCTGTCGCCCTCTCCCTCTGCCCCTCCCCCACGTTCTTTCTCTCTCTCAAAAAAAAATTAGTAATTAAATCTCTTTGCTTGTTATATAGCTATGTTCAGATTGTTGTTTCTTCTTGAGTCAGTTTCGGTAATTTTTGTCTTCCTAGGAATTTCTCCATTTCATCTAAGTTGTCTGTTGGCATACACTTTGTATTGCTTCTCTGGCAGTTCTTTCCTGGATTCTTAGCTTTGCGTAATTATACCTACAATGGAACCAGCGTCCTAAAGTCACCAAGATAAATCCTCCTACTCCAGCATCACATGATCTTCTCATTCTACTAGTTAACAAAAAATGTCCAAGGCCAGCCCAGCAGATCCTAATGAACCATACAGTATTGAATCCTGTGCACAGGGAATGTTTTTGGCATATAAAATTTCTAGAAGTTTAAAGGGCTTCCCCTTGGTGAGTTTGCCATGCTCCAGTGAGGTGGCCGTGGGCTCCAGTGCCCAATTTTTATTGTTGAATTGTCTCTGCCTTCATATCTGTCATGACATATCTTTTTTCATTCCTTTACTTTCAACCTATTTGTATCTTTGAATCTAAAATGTGCCTCTGATGGATGGCATATAGTTGGATCTTGGTTACTTTTATCTAGACTGGCAGTCTCTGCCTTTTGATTGTGTTATTTGTTCCATTCACATTTAATGTTGTTTTTGATATAACTGGACTTATGTCTGACATTTCACTTTTAGTTTGTTATGTGTCTCATGTTTTTTGTGTTCCCTCTGTACCTTCTTAACTGCTTTCTTTTGCATTAAATGAATATTTTCCAATGTAGCACTTTGATTTCTTTAATGATTTTTTTCACTATTTTTTTTAGTTGTTTCATTAGTGATTGCTGTAGGGCTTACCATATACATTTTAACTTACTGGAATTAGAAACTGTTTATATTTATACTAAATTCTGGTGAGATATAGAAATATCACTGTAGCTCTATCTAAATAACATACACATGCAACACTCACTATACTAAACTTTATTTGCCAAAAAGTACACTAAAAAGGAGAATTTCATGTATTTCCTGAGAAGGTAAGGATGCATTAGAAACAGGACCATAATTTTGTTCATTTTATCATGTCTGGAGCTAAGACTAGGTGTGAGTGGGGGAAAAGTCTGTATTTAGAGTTTAGATACATTTTGTTTGTGAGACATTTTCTCACATGTAGGTATTAAACACAGCATTCTAGATCCTGCTCCATTTTTTGGTGAGCTACTAACCTACAGCTAAAAATGTATAGAGAGCTCATTGGCTCTTGATGCTTGCATGTTGAACTTTATAACAAAGAAAGAGTATGGTACAAAAGTAACAGCACTAATTGGTAAACACTCGTTTTGGAGGTATATAGCTTTGAGAGAAGGACACAGTACTTTGATGTGGAATGGATAAAGGAGTTGTTAGGTGTGTGCATTTATGTCTGGAGTCAGTGTTCGTTTGTGGAAAATACTCTTTTAGATTTTTATTTTTTTAAATTTATTCATTTATTCAGTAATTTATTTATTCAGAGGGAGAGAGAGAAAGGCAGAGGCAGAGGGAGAAGCAGGCTCCCTGCAGAGCAGGGAACCCAATGCAGGGCTCGATCCAGAATCCTGGGATCATGACCTGAGGCGAAGGCAGACGCTTAACTGACTGAGCCACCCAGGCACCCCTGTGGAAAATATTCTTGTCCTGTGCCCCATCTTTTGCATCTCATTTTCTTCCACTAGTGTGGGTCTGCTGACTGTGCCTTATTTTTGTTGGCTCAGATAAGGGACTGTTTCTGGAGTGTGACTCCTAGGAGAAAAGAAGTCAACCTTGAATTCAGCCCTCTATCCTGAATCAAGCTACTAGACTGTAAAATAGAAGTACCTGTTTAGTGGGTTCCAGGTGCATGCTCTGAGAGTGTCACTTGAGGCCTTCCAGGTGTGGGCCCTCACCTTCTGTAAAGGCTAGGGTTTTATAGGATTGTTAATAGCCAACTGGAGGAAACTTGTAAGAGTGAGTTAGTTGGAAAAGATCTTATATATATATATATCTGGTGACCTTACTTTGAATGTTGTTTTAGGAAACAATTAGACAATCTTTTTACTTGTTAATTACATTGATATTTTTCTCTTTCTTAATGAATTATGTCCCGTACTTACTTGAACATATTGGAAGTGGTTTGGAGGGACTGTATTTGTGACTAAGCCAGTGATACCAGAGTAGCTGCTTCCTGGTGACTAGACGTAATTAAGAGTCCTGGGCCTTGAGGTAAGTTGAAAGGGCTTGATTCTTAGCAGACAGCTGCAGGTGAAATTGCTGAGAGCACTGGAGAAGAAATGTATGATTGTCAGTTTCCTCCAGAATGTTCTAGCTCTTGGTCCCATGTGTGTGAGTGAGTGACCCCCAGGGTAGGAGAGCAAATTCTCTCCTCAATTTTTAGGTTCACAGTCTAACAACATTCTTTGTTTCTCCAAATGTGTATCTACACAGCAAAGGCCTTTGGTTCGCACTTGTCCCACTAATAGTTAATTGGATCTCATACCTATAATTTTATGGTGTGGTAAATTAACTTTAGGTTTTAAACTTAGCATTGACTTTTTTATGGGTATCTGAGATGAGCCATCTGATGTAAGTCCTTTATTCTGCTAATCTTTTAGTTAGTAGGTCCTACCCTATGCTTTTTTCAGTTTTTTATTAGGTAAGCATCAAAAACCTGGGAAGAGAGAAATTCAGAGAAAGAATGAATGAGAGGAAGTGTGGTGTGTTTGTGTGAGGTTGCCTTGGGATCTTTTCTTTAGAAGCCTCTGGTTTTGGGGTGCCTGAGTGGCTCAGGTGGTTAAGCGTCCGACTCTTGATTTCAGCTGAGAAAACGATCTCAGGACCCTGAGATTGAGCTTCACATTGGGCTCCATGCTGAGCACGGAGTCTGCTTTGTCCTTCTCCCTCTGCTCCTTCCCCTCCTCGCTCTCTCAAATAAATAAATAAATAAAATCTTAAACAAACAAAAGAACCAGCAGCCTCTGGTCTTAGGAGCATTTTTTTATTCTTCTGTTTCTGTTACAGCTCCCTTGTCTTTATAGCTGTTTCTAAATGCTAGGAGTTGAGAACCAGAGGGGCAGTCAGGGTGACCTAGAATTGCTGCTCTGTCTTAGTAGGTCAGGAAGAAAGGTATTTGACTCATTTTATAGTAGGGCTATTGCGGTGGGAAGGGACTAGAGTCTAGCAGTCCAAAGCCTATTATTCCTGGGCTTTTGCTTTTTCCCAGCCAGCTCTTCTCATCCTCTGGATCTCTGGAGATGGCCTGCTTTTGCTGGTACAGCTGTCCTTGGTCCTTTAGGGACGTGCTTCTCCCTAATTATTATTGATCCCAAGGTAAGAAAAAGTTTCATTTTCACCTGAGGAATGGTTGGTTTCTTTTTTTCTTCTTCAAAAGGAACTCTTGCTAGAAAGTACAGACAGTTAATCATGACTTAGTTCACAAAATGCTGGTTTCTAATTGTAAATTTTATAAATCCTAGTCACAAATGGGATCAATAGGCATAATTTTAGGTCCCTAATTCCTTTTTTTCCATCCCATATCTAGGGCACTTAAAAAAGGAGTCTTTTTAAATTGTGGGCAATTCTTCATCTTATCCCTTAATTTTCCTTCTCCATTTTTTCTTTCCTAAAAGTCAGGCTGGAACTCTGGTCAATTAACTTAGGTATTCTAATCATGTAGAACACAGTAGATTGTTAATCTGCTAGTGCATTGAGGAAGCCATTACTATTGGGTAGTAATATACTATCCTGTCAGCAAACACAATAGGCATCTCTTCAGCGGATGAAACTTTAGTTTTCTTTGAATATTGTGAACAAAAACAGGAGTGCTGGGGTGGTAGGGATGGGGTGGCTGGGCAATAGACATTGGGAAGGGTATGTGCTATGGTGAGTACTGTGAATTGTGTAAGACTGTTGAATCACAGACCTGTACCTCTGAAACAAATAATACATTATATGTTAAAAGAAAAAGAAGAAGATAGTAGGAAGGGAAAAATGAAGAGTGGGAAATCGGAGGGGGAGACGAACCATGAGAGACTATGGACTCTGAGAAACAAACTGAGGGTTCTAGAGGGGAGGGGGATGGGGGGATGGGTTAGCCTGGTGATGGGTATTAAAGAGGGTACGTACTGAATGGAGCACTGGGTGTTATACGCAAACAATGAATCGTGGAACACTACATCAAAAACTAATGATGTATGGTGATTAACATAACATAATAAAATAAAGGGGAAAAAAAGAGGAGTGTTTTTGGCTCATAGGAACATAATCACTCTAAATTCTCAGATTTATACCAGAATGCCAGGTACCATACCTTCTCTTTTCTACTGGACTTTGATCTTGCAGATTAGCAGTGCCAGGATCACAGAACCTTGAAAGCTGAAAGAACTGAAGAGGCCATCTCCTCTGGTCTCCTTTCCAAAGCATAAATCTTACTTGTTGGGGTCATATCCAGCCTCTCCTTGAACACTTAGTGAAATAGTGCTTAATACTTTAGGCTATAGATTATTCAGTTTTTTAAATGATGAGAATTTTGGGGTACCTGGCAGGCTCATTTGGTGGAGCATGCAACTCTTAATCTCAGGGATGTTAAGTTCAAGACCCACATTGGGTGTAGAGATTACTTAAAAAAATAAAATCTTTAAAAAAATGATGAGAATCTATTCCTCATGTTGGAGTCTTCCTCTTTATAACCTGAACCTGTAGCTGCAACACCAAAAAAAAAAAAAAAATGTACTGTCTCTTCTACATACTGTCTTCTTCAAAGGGCTAAAATGTATACTCCTGCTCTTCTGTAGTATCCTTTCTTCCTTCAATTGTTCATCATATGTCATGGTTTTAAAATCTTTGGCATACTGTGATTGTCTTTTAGACATATTCTAACTTCTCAGTTTACCTCCTAAAGTATGGTGTTCGGGCATGCCTTGTACCAAATAAGCATTCAGTAAATGTTTATTGGATTGAATGACACCTAGTACTGGATCCGGATATGATCTGAGTAGTTTAGATTAGTAGGAGACTGTTAGCACCTGGGATCTGGACACATTTTATTTGCAGGCTCCATTGTGTTAGTTTTTCAGCAGCTGAATTGCATTGTTGGTCCATAACAAGCTTAGGTCCCACTAAAACCTTCAAATTTGCTTGAAGTGACCTGCTCTCAAGCTAACTCTTCTCCGCCCCCATCCTTAAATTATTAAGTTGGTAGTGGTGTTTTGAGTGGTGGTGGTTGTTTATTTGGTGTTTGTTTTAAAGATTTATTTATTTGAGAGAGAG